ACCTTGATGACAGGTGCCCATGTTTTTTAAATGTCTTGAACCATTTTTGTTGCAAGTGACAGTAACCTGACTAACTCTAAATCAAGTAGAGAAAAGGATTTTTTTTTTTTTTTTACTTTGTTACAAAGAAAACCACAGGCCCAAAATGGTGTTACTTGGGTCAGGCTAAGTTACCGAACCAAGGGTTAGTACCTAACCTAAATGCAGTTTCAACCTCCCCCGGAAATGTAAACCTTAATTTACCAATCGGGAATTTTTTGATAAGCACCAGTAAAGTAACCTGTCACATGGGCTTCTCCTTGGACAGAAGATGAGGTAATTCACCTAATATCCCCTACCTTTCCATAAGGGAAAGTGACTTTGTCTAGAACAATCCTTTTCTTTTGCTTATAACTTTCTCGCCCTAACCCTATAAAAACCTTCCAGTTTGTACAACTCCTCCTTGTACAACTGCCCCTCTCTGTGTTAGGAGGGATGCTATCCAATTCATGTATCTTTTTAAGATTTTATTCGAGAGAGCGAGAGCGCACGAGTGAACAAGGGGTTGGGGAGGGCAGAGTGAGAGGGAAAAACAGGCTCCGCGCTGAGCAGGGAGTCCATCGTTAGACTTGATCTCAGGATCCCGGGATCGTGACCTGAGCTGAAGGCAGATGCTTAACCAACTGAGCCACCCAGGCATCCCCAAGAGTCATTAATAAAGCCAATTAGATCTTCACATTTATTTGGATAAATTTTGTTTTTTATAACTCAGACACAAGAAAATCTGAAATCTACCCCGCCATCTTGCAATCATGTAACCTTCCAAGCGGTAGCAAAAAAGGATGCTAGCAACCCAAATCCTCTTTTTTTTTTTTTTTTAAGATTTTATTTATTTAGGGACGCCTGGGTGGCTCAGTTGGTTAAGCAGCTGCCTTCGGCTCAGGTCATGATCCCAGCGTCCTAGGATGGAGTCCCACATCGGGCTCCTTGCTTGGCGGGGAGCCTGCTTCTCCCTCTGCCTCTGCCTGCCATTCTGTCTGCCTGTGCTTGCTCTCTCTCCCTCTCTCTCTCTGACAAATAAATAAAAATAAATTAATTAATTAATTTTAAAAAAAGATTTTATTTATTTATTTGACAGAGAGAGATCACAAGTAGGGAGAGAGGCAGGCAGAGAGAGAGGGTGAAGCACACTCCCTGCTGAGCAGAAAGCCCGATGTGGGGCTCAATCCCAGGACCCTAAGACCATGACCTGAGCTGAAGGCAGAGGCTTAACCCCTTGAGCCACCCAGGTGCCCCCCAAATCCTCTTGATTGAAGCCTCAAAGGAAGGAGAGGGTCTTGCCCCCAACTCCTCCTCATTGGAACTTATAAGACACTCTGATTGGCCCACTTAAGTCACATGCCTACCCATGAACCAATCATTGTGCCCAGAGGGATAGAATGCTGATTGGATGGCCCAGCTCACAGACCCACCCCTGGGTGATTTGGTTCCTCCAAAGCTCAGCAGGATCTTTGACCCTGGAGCCCAACCTTGCTGGACCCTGTCTCCTAGCAACAGATCTGTGTCTGCCCATCTTAGCATCTCTATTGCCCCAGGTTACAATCTGGAGGTTGGAAAGATAGCTAATAGGCTCTTCCCAATGGAGGGTAGTTATACTTTTATAGACACAGAGTATTCAGTGTTAACCCCAGGAGGGGGATCAAGTCCCCCCTGGTTCTCAGATAATCCCAGTCTTATCTCCCACCACATTACTAATTTCCTCTTCTAGCTTGGAGCAGAGAATTCAGCTGTGGCAATCTCAACAAATCAAGCAGATGCTGGTCTCTGCTGCAAGAAGTAAACAGAGGCAGCTTGTGTCTGTCTAGGGAGACCTTGATGAAAGCGCCATATCAACATCCTGATATTTTTCTCCAAAGCCCCTCAAACCACAGTCTCAAGAAACACATGGTTAGAGTCCCAAGATAAAACAGGCAAGATTTTTTTTAAAAGATTTTATTTATTTGGGAGTGCCCAGGTGGCTCAGTGGGTTAAAGCCTCTGCCTTCAGCTCAGATCATGATCTCAGGGTCCTGAGATCGAGCCCCACATCAGGCTCTCTGCTCGGCAGGACCCTGCTTCCCCCTCTCTCTCTGCCTGCCTCTATGCCTAGTTGTGATCTCTCTCTCTGTGTGTCAAATAAATAAATAATAAATCATGACCTGAGCTGAAACTAAGAGTCAGGCACTTAACGTTAACTGACTGAGCCACCCAGGCACCCCCAAGTCGGCAAGATTTTAATCAGGAAAAAAAAAAGATTTTAATCAGCTTATTTTTCTTCCACATAACAACAATCGCTTGTTTCTTGAGGAAGGCTCTTCTCAGGGCAGATTGTATGCACTGTGTAAATCTAGGCAGTCCCATTCACTTTGTAGTGAATGTATTTGTCTGTGGTGGCTCTGCCCCTCTACCTCACCTTTGCTCTGCCAATTCCGGTTTTAGGTTACTTCCCTCAATATCCTTCCCTTTCCAGGCACTAATTCTAAATTAGGGAAGAGCGTTATCGACTCAAGGGACAGAAACCCACTAAAGCCAGCCTAATGCCCAGGAAATTTGTTGGCTCATGGATTGGAAAGAATGAGGGCTCCTGGCCTCAGGTACGGCTGGATCCAGGAGCTCAGCCAATACAGACAGAACTTTCTCTTCAACTCTCACCTGTACATCCTGGCGTAGACTGGCTTCAGTCTGCAGACTGTTCTTCCTGACAACTGGGGAAGGGGACTGCTGGGAGGATGAGGGCCTAAATACAGCTTATGATCCCAGAGGAAGAATGAGATATCCTGTCTTTCAACCTAATTATTGTGACCAGGAGATGGGGTTCTCTGATTGGTATGTTTAGACTGAGTGATACTGGGGGGCTGTGTTAGATTGGCGTAGTGGAGAAGCATCCACAAATGGAAAGCAAGGTGCTGATAGAGATACTCAGGGGACAGGGGCACCTGGGTGGCTCATTCGGTTAAACTTCTGATTCTTGATTTCAGCCCAGGTTATGATCTCAGGGTCATGAGATGGAGCCCAGCATCAAGCCCTGTGTAGGGCTCTGCACTCAGTGGGGAGTCTGCCTGAGATTCTCTCTCTCTCCCTCTGTCCCCACCCCACCCCACTCCTGTCTCTAAAATAATAAATAAATAAATCTTTTTTTTTTTTTTTTTTTTTAAAGATACTTAGCAGATGGAAACAACAGCTGTCATTACAAGCATTATTTGTTATGGGACCTTCCAGGAGGTGGCAGTTTGAGGAACTAGTGACATAATCCAATTTCAGTCTCCCATCTCTCAGATCTGCTGTGGCTCTTCCGAAGCAAGGTGAAAAGCCAGTTTCAGACCTTGTGTTCAGCACAGGTCTAGAAGGTTCAGGAAAGAAGAGAGAAGACTCCCGGAAGCCGGATTTGCTTGAGGTTGCGTTCAAGGGTAGGTGGTGTCAAAATTCACCGAAGACCCTTGGAAATACAGCTGTGGCCAAAAAAGTTTTTTCCAGCTTGCTAAAAGGGAAGTTCATATACCAGGAACCATGGGTGCCTCTATAGGAGGGTGTTGGGGGACAGGAGGGTACCTTATAGGATTCACGCATGTGGAGCAGGGTGTGAGGAGTTTTAAGGAGAGTTAAAGAGAGGAGAAGCAATTCTAGGTTGGTGCTGTCAGGAAGCTGGGAGCGGATTGGTAACTGGGTATTTGGATGATTTTTATCTCGGAAGTGGGAGGATGGAAGTGGAGCTGTCATTGGTAAAAAGCAACAGTCATCGCGTTAGTCCGGGACAGGAGGGTGTGTATTCATTTTTGTGGTCGCAGAGTGTCCTTGTCTCTGGCCTGGTTCAGACATGGCCACAGAGCGGCCTTGTGTGATCATTGTTTATATTCTGTGACTGTTGTTTATGCTCAGTGAAGACCATCAGGCCCAGCTGCCAGCTGCTGGGGCTGGCTTTCACTCCCTCTTTTCGGGGATCTCTGTCTCCAGGTAAAGTCTGCCCAGAGTCCTTCCCCGTTGTGGCCTAGGCTTCTCCAGAGATCATCACGCCTGTGGGCATCAGACACAGGGAGTCCACCAGTGACAGCAGTGAGTGACCTATCAGCCAGGTAGGAGGAGGAAAACACTCAGGGACAGGACTCCCAAGCCTTTTCCTTGGGGAGTCTTACAGGGAGTAGCTGGACTGAGCAAAGATGAACAACTTTGTCAATTGCAGGCCTTCTCAGAGCCTTGGCTTCATTTATGTGCCCCGCCAGTCTGCCAGAGAATAGAGGTTTGGTGCTTTCTGAACAAAGGTAGAGTCAGAGACATGGACACGAGGCAGAGACAGAGACAGAGGAGGCCAGAAACAGAGAGACAGAGAGGCAGAGGCAGGAAAAGTGACAGGAACAGAGGCAGAGACATTGACACAGGGAGAGCCGCAGAAATAGAGGGACAGAGAGAGAGGAACAGAGCTAGGCGCCGAGAGGAGAGCAGAGATGCAGAGAGAGACAGGGCTAGGGAGAGACCACGGCAGGGGCCGAGGAGGGCGGGGGCCCGACGGGGACGAGGGAGGCCGAGGCAGGCCGGGCCGGGCCGAGCCGAGCCGGGCGGAGGGCAGTGCGGGAGGGCGCCGCGCAGACAAAGGCGCGGCCAGGCCGGCCGGGCCGGGACAAAGGCTGGCCCGGGGGGCGGGGGCAGCGATGGCGACGGCCGCGGCGGGCGCGGGCGAACTACAAGTCCCAGCAGCTCCCGCTGCGGCCCTCGGCCGGCCCCTCTCGCTCCCCGGGAGCGCCTGGCGGGGCCGCTGGGCCGAGGGGGCCGCCGGCGGGGCTGGCGGGCGGGGGGCTTCCTGCGGGCCCCGGGGGCGCGGCGGGCCGGGCAGGGGCGAGGGGCGCCGGGTGAGTGTCCCCGCGAGCGGGCCGGGCGGGCGGGCGGGGGCCGGGGCGGGGGCGGGCGCGGGGCGCGGCCCGGGGCGACCTCTGTCCGCCTCCCCACCTTCCCGGCCCGCGCGCCGCCTGCCTGGCCCGGTAGAGCGGGGTCGCGGGCGTGTGGGGAGGGGGCCCCTTGCGGCCCGCGGGCCTAGCGCGCCCTTTCCGCTGCCGTGGCCCCGGGGGAGGGCCCAGCCTGAGCTGGGCGCCTGAAATCGGGAGGTATGGGGGGGCACCCCTCAGCTGTGGGGTCGGGAGCTCAGGACGCCCCCTCCCTGGAGGCGATCCAGACCCTCTCCATCCGAAGAACCCTGGAGGACCCCTAAGTATTGTTCTCCCCACCCTCCAGCCTCCTAAGGTTGGGAGTTCAGGAGGCCATTCCTCAGGAGGGCGATTGGGGTTCCCTCTGATCCCCCAGGGAGCCTCGTTATTGTTCTCCTCCCACTCCAGTTTTGGGGTCCAGAGTTCTGGAAACCCCTTCCCAGGAGGTGATCCAGAGACCCACCTGGCTCCCCCCCCACACCCTCCCAGGAACTCAGTTCTCCTCCCCATTCCAGCGAAAAGATGGGAATTTGCAAGGCCCCTTCCTCCGGAGGCGATCTAAAGGTCCTCCCTGTCCCCCAGAAACCCAGGCATTGTTTTCCCCCACCCTCCAAACGTGGCGTCTGGGTTGAGGAGGTGATCGAAGAACACCCTCTGCATTTGCTTAGCCACTTCCAGCTGCGGGGTTGTGGTTCTCCGTGTCACTCTCCCCAGGAGAGCCAGAGGCCCCCCATCCCTCCCTCCAGGAACAGATGTGTTTGTTTGCTCCCTAGCCCGCAGCCATGGGGTGGGTAGCTCAAGACATCACCTCCCCATCGGTAGTCCAGAGCTCCCTCTGCTTCCCAGAAGGGCTCCCAGTTACTGTTCCTCTATCCTGCTTCCAATCTCCAAGTATGGGGCTGGAATTCAGGATCTTTTCTCCAGGAGGGAACCAAAAAAGTGTCCGGACACCCATCCCCATACCTCAGCCTTGGGATCAGTTAGTTATTCAGGAATCTCCTTTCCTAGGAGATGACCCAGGATCCCCCCAGTAACCCAAGAGGGGCCCTAAGTCTTATTTTTGCCTCCCCACCCCCCAGCTAGGGGTTAGAATTCAGGATCTGCTATCCAACTGGTGAAACAGGTACAACACCTGTCCCTACTACCCTGGCTATGGGGTCCATGGGTCTCCCTGTGCCCCAATGGGTCCTGCCTTAACCCCCTCCTCTAGCTTTAGGAAGTGGCATTTGGGTACACAAGTGTTTTGACAGTCACTCCCACCCCTGAACTGTGAGGTGTGGCATTCGAGTCCCTCTTCCCCAGCAGGCACGCCAGAGGTGCCCTTGCCCTCCCCCACTGATGCAAGGGGAGTACCAGCTGTCATTTGCCCCCCGCTCATACCCCAGATATAAGCTTCAGGGCTCAGGATGCGTCCTCTCCATGAGGCAAGCCAGAGGTTGCCCTTACTACTAGGGAACCCCCAAATATGTCACCCCCCAACTCTGGGACTGGAATTCGAGCTATGTACTTAGGAGCAAGCACAGGAACCCAACCCCTTGCCCTCTTCCCCAGTCAAGCGGTTAGGAACCCTGGGCTCTCTCTCCTCCACAGGACCCAAGCTTCCCACGGGAGGAGGAGCCCAACATGGAGAGAGGGGCAGAGCCCTGGAGCTGGGCACTGGACACCTCTAGTGCCGGGGCCCATGACTTCCATCCAGGTGTGGTGCTGAGACGTGAAGGTTGCCCCCACCCTACCCCCCCTCCATGTCCCAGCAGGGTCCCTCTTCTCCCTGCCCTGACTGGAGCGCATCACAGGTCTCCCTGCAATCTGAGACAAGAGAAGGATCCCTGTGTGTATTGAGGAGTGGGTCTGGGGCCATAGCCCCTCTCACCTCCCTGCCCAGACTCCAAAAGTGATCCCCTGGCCTCCAGAACCTACCTCCACCCCCCTCTGTCCTCACCCTGCAGATCCTGCCCCGGAAGCAGCCAGCACTTCCACACCAGGGATGCGGCGCTCAGTCCTGGTCAGGAACCCGGGCCACAGAGGCCCAAGGCCCGCTTATGAAGAGCTTGACTCCGACTCAGAGGACCTGGACCCCAACCCCGAAGAGCTGGATGCAGTCTGCAAAGACCCAGAGCCTGACCCAGAAGACCTCAACACTGTCTCCGAAGATGCGGACCCCAGCTACGAAGATCTGGGGCCCGTCTCTGAGGACCTGGACCCTGACGCCGAAGCTTCGAGCTCCATCTCAGCCGCCCGGGACTCGGATCCCCAAGATCTCCACCCTATGGCTTCAAGTTTCGACCTCGATCCAGATGTCATCGGCCCTGTCCCCCTGGTTCTTGACCCGAACAACGACACCCTCAGCCCCACCGAATCCCCAGACGTGGACCCCCTCGCATCCAGCCTCACTGCCACTCCCGAGGTCCTGGCCCCCAGCCCCGCGGTGCTCCCTGCACCTGCCAGCCCTCCCCGGCCCTTCTCCTGCCCCGACTGTGGGCGAGCCTTCCGCCGCAGCTCGGGGCTGAGCCAGCACCGCCGTACCCACAGCGGCGAGAAGCCCTACCGCTGCCCCGACTGCGGCAAATCGTTCAGCCATGGCGCCACGCTGGCCCAGCACCGCGGCATCCACACAGGCGCGCGGCCCTACCAGTGCGCCGCCTGCGGCAAGGCCTTCGGCTGGCGCTCGACACTGCTGAAGCACCGCAGCAGCCACAGTGGCGAGAAGCCACACCACTGCCCGGTGTGCGGCAAGGCGTTCGGGCACGGCTCGCTGCTGGCGCAGCACCTGCGCACCCACGGCGGGCCGCGGCCGCACAAGTGCCCCGTGTGCGCCAAGGGCTTCGGGCAGGGCTCAGCGCTGCTGAAGCACCTGCGCACGCACACCGGCGAGCGGCCCTACCCGTGCCCGCAGTGTGGCAAGGCCTTCGGCCAGAGCTCGGCGCTGCTGCAGCATCAGCGCACGCACACGGCCGAGCGTCCTTACCGCTGTCCCCACTGCGGGAAGGCCTTCGGCCAGAGCTCCAACCTGCAGCACCACCTGCGCATCCACACGGGCGAGCGGCCCTACGCCTGTCCCCACTGCTCCAAGGCCTTCGGCCAGAGCTCCGCGCTGCTGCAGCACCTGCACGTGCACTCCGGGGAGCGCCCTTACCGCTGCCAGCTCTGCGGCAAGGCCTTTGGCCAAGCATCCAGCCTCACCAAGCACAAGCGGGTGCACGAGGGCGCCGCTGCCGCTGCCGCAGCCGCCGCTGCGGCTGCAGCCGCCGCCGCCGCGGGCCTTGGCCTCAGTCCTGCCTCCATGTTGAGGCCAGGGCAGGTCTCCCTCCTGGGTCCTGATGCTGTCTCTGTTCTTGGCTCCGGCCTGGGCCTCAGCCCTGGCCCCAGCTCCAGCCTGGGCTCTGAACCTAGCTCCGTGCTGGGCTCCCTTCCTGATCCTGGCCCCAGAGCTCTCTCCTGCTCCGAATCTACCCCCACCCCTGATTCTGTCAAATCTTCTGACCCTAAGCCTGGTCCCAACGCCAATCCTGACCTCGTGGCCAGCCCTGAGCACGGATCTGGTCCCAGCTCTGACCAGGATCCCGCCCCCAGCCCCGAGCCCAACCTTGAATCTCACCCTGACCCCTGCTCTCCCATCCATGACACTGTCAGTCCGGCCCTCCCTACTGGCGAGAGTCCCGAGTGGGTGCAGGAGCAAGGGGCTCTGCTGGGGCCGGATGGCTGAAGTGGACGCCGACACTCACGGGGGCCTGGGGAAGTTGTGTGTCATGCAATTTAGTAAAATCCTCCCACTGCCTCCCGGCTCTGTGTTGTGTGGCTTGCCTCTTTCTCTTTTTCCTCCCTAATGCATGGCCCCTTCCTCAGAAGATGGGAGGGTGTGGCCTATGCCAGCCATAGCTGGAACTCCAATGTCCCTGCTCCCCGCTAATCCTCCAGGCTTCCCAGTTCCCCCACAAGGTCTCACACTGGTCCCTCCCTGCACTTGCCCCTCTGCTTCCCCAGACCTGGCCACCCTAGTCATGGACAGACTTCTGCTAAAGGTGGTTTGAGAAGGATCCTTTTCCTTTGGCTTTTCTATGAGTGGTGGAATTTCTGGCATTTTCACAGTCTAGTGGGCTGATAATGGAGGCTGATATGAGACCCTGAAGGCACCCTACACGATCTGTTCACATAACCTACCCTTATCCTTCACAGCCCAGGTTATGGGCACAGCACTGGATGGAAGAGGTTGCCTGTCTATGTGTTGAACGTAAATCTGCTGATTGGTGGGGTCTCAGCCGGGAACAAGACAAGCATGGCCTTCACAGAACTCACAGATGCCAAATTCAGGAACATTTAAGAAGTAGTTAGGGGGTGTAGTTCATTCTTTTTTTTTTTTTCCTTTTTAAGATTTAAAAAATTTTTTCATGTAAGAGAGAGAGAGAGGCAAAAGCAGGGGAGGGAGAAGCGGGCTTCCTGCAGAGCAGGGAGCCTCATGCAGGACTCTATCCCAGGACCCTGGGATCATGACCTGAGCCCAAGGCACACGCTTAACCGACTGAGTCACCCAGGCACCCCGGTAGAGTTCATTCTAAGAAAAGCATAACAAGACATTTCCCCCCAACACATCAGACAGGTAACGGTGAGGAGGTAGCAAGGTTTCAGGGAGACACATCTCATGCAACAGCGTGAATGCTCAGTCACCATGCTCATAGTCCACAAAAGGATCAAGACCTCTGATTTGGGGGAGGGGGGCTGCTTTCCCGAGGAAGGAATCCATAATCCCAATGACCACTACTTTAATCATCAGTACTGTTTGTCCAGCCTTGTGCAGCACTCTTGCATTTCATGCTTTTGAGTTTTCTCATTTAATTCAACAGCTCCAAGAGGCAGGTAACTATGACCAAGTATCCCCCTTTTGCAAATGAGTAAACAGGCTGGTGGAGTTTAAGAACTTCTTTGGAAGATGTAGAAGTGGCAGTTGGCCAGGCCTAGATTTCATCTAAACTGTCTGTTCGCCAGAGTTTGCGTTCTTAACCAGTATCCTTCAAAGCAAGAGTGCAAAGGCCCTGGGGCCATTGAGTGAGAAGCTCGGGGAGATGGGGGCTGGAACAGAGGGACCTGGTAGACTGAGGTCAGAATTCCTTTGTCATCCCAGAACAATGGGAAGACATCAGCAGGTTGTGGCAGAGGACTGATTACTCATGGAAAATGCTTCTGGCTACTGCCTGGAGAGTGTAAGGGGAGAGAGTCAGGAGTGGGAGCCTCAGGTCAGGGAGGAGGTTGCTGCACTGGTGCAGGCCAGGAATGCTGGGGGACTCTGGGCTGAGGCCTATAGGAGTGGGTATAAGTGGTCCTATTTGGGACATACTTAGGAAATGAAATAGGATTTGCTGACGGCTCAGATGAGAGGAGCAGTAGCGGAAAGAGAGAAACCACCGGGTTTCTGGGAGGATGGAGAGGCAGCCATGAGACAGGACATATGGTCATCACCCGACTCTGCGGAGAGTAAGGGGTGAAGCACTGAATATGGAACTCAAGAATCTGGCACAGGACGCGGTCCTAGGGCACGCTCACAGCCAGCCCATCCCCCAGCACATTGAGCGCCCTTCGGCGTTAGGACCTCAAGGCCACCCTTCGCCCGCAAGAAGCCAGTTGAGGCACGCACGCATGCGTACGGCTGCGGCAGCAGGGGCTGTCGTGGCGCAGGGGGCGGGATAGGATCCGGTCACGTGCACTGGGGGCGGGGAAGAAAGAGCGCCTGGTCACGTGATCGCGGCGGGCGTCAGCTGACCCGAGAGGGTTTGAAGCGGCGCCGCGAGGGAGCGAGGCCGCAGCAGCAGGGGCGGCGGGCGCTCGGACCCTGGCTGCCCCGCCGCGCCCCGCCCCGGCATGGCAGCCCCAGTGGGCCGTCGGGGCTCAGGTGAGGGCGCGCGCGGCCCCCCCGGGACCCCGAACGCGGGCGGGTGGCGAGCTCTCCCGACCCGGGGCGGCGGAGCTCCCGGTTTCCTTTGCCTAAACTCCAGTGTTCCCCTTCGGTGGAGATTAGGACATATGGCTCCTAGACCCTGGGCGGCCGGTGGGCGCCCGCTCCTCCGTCCCTGGAGTGGCGGGACTCTTGTGTGCTCTCTCCGGACCCAGGTTCTGCTCAGAGTTCCTAAACTCGGGCAGCGGATGGGCCGCCAGCTTCTCCAGCTCCAGCCCGGGAGGTTCCCGGGGTTTGCATTTTGAGCGTAGTTCCGATTGCTGCCTTTGCTGAACACAGCGGGCACCAGCTTCTCCAACCCTCACGTGAAACTCCCAGGATTCCCTTCCCCAATTCTTGAGGCCGTGCTCAGCTTCTATAAACTCAGATGGGGGTCTGGGGGGATTACCTCCTTGAACCCAGGCGCCGAACTCGATCTCATGGAGTGGGAGCTCGGCTTTCTTGAACTCAGCTGGTGGATACCCAGCTTCCGGTCTCTTCGGCCCTTGCTTCTCATGGGGGAGGCTGGGGGTAGACTCTTCGTGTTGGTCTTCCCTTCTTGAGCTAGCTGGAGATACCTGAAAGCTGTCCCTGCTGGTAGGATCTGGGATGGGTTAACTGAGATCCCGGTTAGTGAGACGGGCCTGCTTGCTCTCTGGCTTCCCATCCAGCTATCTTGTAAACAAGCACAACAGCATCCCAGCTCCAAAGGGACTGGCCAGGAGCTGGCCTTCCCTGCAGGACAGGTTCTGACAGTGCTCCCATTTGTCCTGGCCGCTGTGTCAGGCAGGCGGCCCGCCAGGTCCTGGAAAGAAGCAGGGTTGCCCGGGTCAGGGTGGTGGGGGTGTGTCAGGGTCGCTCCTGGGCTGCTGTGACCAGCTGTGACCCCAGTGGTTAATGAAACCTTGGACTTTTCTCTTGGGTTGTTCAGAAATGAAGAGAATAAGCAGTGCTTAGAATAGACTCTATTTGCTGAAGAATTACCAGGACTTGGGGGGTGAACCGAGGCTTCTGTCTGCTTTATCTCACTACATTCAGAGAACACCTTTCAGAGTTTCAATCTTGGTAGACTTTTAAGATTTTATTTTATTTTATAGATTTTATTTATTTACTTGACAGAGACACAGCCAGAGAGGGAACCCAAGCAGGGGGAGTGGGAGAGGGAGAAGCAGGCCTCCTGCTGAGCAGGGAGCCCAATGTGGGGCTTGATCCTAGGACCCTGGGATCATGACATGAGCCAAAGGCAGACTTTTAATGTCTGAGCCACCCAGGCACCCCTTAAGATTTTATCTTTAAGTGATCTCTAGACCCACCGTGGGGCTCGAGATCGAGAGTCGCATGCCTGTCCCACTGAACCAGTCAGGCACCTGCCCCTGGCAGACTTTTTTTGTTACCACTTTTCTTTTTCTTTCTTTCTTTCTTTCTTTCTTTCTTTCTTTTTTTTTTTTTTTAAACTTTATTTATTTATTTGACAGAGACGTCACAAGTAGGCAGAGAGGCAGGCAGAGAGAGGGGGAAGCAGGCTCCCTGCTGAGCAGAAAGCCCTATTCGGGGCTCAATCCTAGGACTCCGGGATTACGACCGGAGCTGAAGGCAGAGGCTTAACCCACTGAGCCACCCAGGTGCCCCTGTTTCCACTTTTCAAATGAGAAGATGGAGGCTTTGAAAGATAACCAGGATCTGCCAATTGGGAAGTGGCAGGTCTGGGATTTGGTTCGAGAGCTGTGAGAGTTCCAGAAGCTGTTGCCCTTCGTGAAGATGCTATATTAGCTGGTGAGCTAGCAGACAGGCAGTGTGGTAATAACACCCATTGGTGTGCAGTGAGTTTTTAGCAAATGTGTTCTGTTATTATTACTGTTGTCATTCTCCCCTTCCCTGGGCCTCTGGTTTGTGAGAGTGTCAGCTGGCTGGGCCAGGTCATGATGAGTGGAAAAGTCCTTCTTTGGGTATTTGACCAGAAAAAACTGGAATGTGGCTGATCTCCATGCTCATGCCTGGAGGCTGGAGTTGGGAAGAGCCAGTGGAAGCAATTCCTTTTCTTCCCACAGATCCACAACTGGAACAATGATGGAATGTTCTGACATTCTTACCACAAGCCAGCCCCTGTGATAAATGTCTTGTCAGTGTCCAGTGCTCAGCTTCCTGGTGAGAGGTGTTATAGCCCCATTCTGCAGATGAGAAGGCCGAGGCTCAGAGGCAGAGGTCCCTGCCCGAACCAGTGATAAGCAGGGTCAGGAATCAGCTCAGGCCCTCTTGAGCCCCAAATCCGAATTTATAATCTCTGAGCAGGACTGCTTACATCTATCCACAAAATGTTGCAGATCTCCTGGGTTTTCTGAGATCTCTCCAAGGTCTTTGGCTGGCACGGTGGGACCTCTTTGCCCTGTTGGCAGGTGAGCCTGCCTGGGCCTGGTCCCCACCACCATCCCCCATTCCCACAGAGACCGAGCGGCTCCTGAGCCCCAGTCCTGGGTATGGCACCCGGGCCGGGGCTTCCCCCACCCCTCCGGAAGAGGAGGATCTCCGCCGCCGGCTCAAGTACTTCTTCATGAGTCCCTGTGACAAATTTCGGGCCAAAGGCCGCAAGCCCTTCAAGCTCATGCTGCAAGTCGTGAAGATATTGGTGGTCACCGTGCAGGTGAGCCCGGCAGGGGCCCCAGCAGAACACCACCTGCGGCCGGTGCTGCTCCTGAGGGAGAGTCCTGGCGTCCAAGCCTGGCCCTGACTTCTCAGTAATGGGGTGATCAGTAGGAAGCCCTCTAAGATCGTGCTGGGGACAGCTCTTTGTAACCTCACAGATGCTCTCTGGGGTCCTGGCAACTGCTGTTGCTATCATTTTATATGTGAGCCAGCGGAAGCTCAGAGAGGTTAAGGGACATGTCCAAAGTCACACAGCCACCAAGCATGGGGAGCTTGCACTGGAACCCAGACAGTCTGATGCCATGTTGACTCTCAGACCTGACTCAGTGGCTGAGCAGGTAGTTGCTGCCCCCCATCCCAGGTCCTGTGGTGGGCTTTGGAGACCCCACGATGAATCAGACCCAGCCCCTGCCCTAAGGAGCCTCTGGTCCGGTGCTGTGATTCAGGGTATGTTAAGATACTTATGATTTCCTCTCCGTAAGAGAGCACAACACTGGTACTCACCCTGTACGTTTGGGTTCAGCACAGAACCTGGCCCCTGGTAAACATCCAGGGAGCATAGGCCTCTGTCGTCATGAGATACCTGAGCACCCGCTCTCTGCTGCTCACGGTGGGCATTCCTTGTGGCCAGCCTTGTCAGTTCCCACTCCCCCCACCAGCTCATCCTGTTCGGGCTCAGCAACCAGCTGGCCGTGACGTTCCGGGAGGAGAACACCATTGCCTTCCGCCACCTCTTCCTGCTGGGTTACTCGGATGGGGCGGACGACACTTTTGCGGCCTACACGCGGGAGCAGCTCTACCAGGCCATCTTCCACGCTGTGGACCAGGTGCGGGCAACCGGGGGCAGGTGGGCGGGCCGGCAGGGGAGAGTGGGCAGGGCTGACAGACCCGCCCTTTCTCTGCCCACAGTACCTCCTGCTCCCTGATGTGTCGCTTGGCCGGTATGCCTACGTGCGAGGCGGGGGTGGCCCCTGGGCCAACGGCTCGGCCCTGGCCCTCTGCCAGCAGTACTACCACCGAGGCCACGTGGACCCAGCCAACGACACCTTTGACATCGATCCCATGGTTGTCACTGGTGAGTAGGCAGGCCAGGGCACCGCTGTTGGGAGTACCAGCTGCTGGAATTAAAATCCCACTGGAAGATGAGGTTGTCCTGATAATTAATAATTTGATGTTTGCAGCATCTTTGGTAGAATGCTTGGTGTGCAGAAAAGTGCAAGTGCTGTGTTCTAACATCGTTTGTTCACTGAGCATTTGGGGGCCCACTGGGTGTCAGGCCCTAGGGCCTGTGTAGGGAGTGAGACAAACTGGGCCTGCTCCAGGGGAGACCGTGGGGAACAAAGGACAAATGTTAAGTTCACAGCGGGAAGTGAAGGAGGGAAGGGGGCTGCGGGGGACTGTGGGGAGACCTGCCTGTGCCTCTCCCGCCCCCAGTGTCCCTTTCCTGACTCCCTGTCCTCAGACTGCATCCGGGTGGACCCCCCCGAGAGACCCCTTGTGCCCCCCAGTGATGATCTCTCCCTCTCGGACGGCAGCGCCAGTTACAAGAACCTCACGCTCAAATTTCACAAGTACTGCCTGATGGAGGGGGGCCTCCAGGGCTGGGCCAAGGGTTGGGGGCGGGCAGGATGCCAGGCATCCTTGGCCACCCCACCACGGGCGGGGACAGAGGAAAACCATGCTGATGCCTCCGTGTGAGCATTTCCTCTTTGAGCTGCAGAGTCAGCGTGGGGCAGCAGCGCTGCTGGTGGGGTGGGGGCGGAGGGCAGGGGTGGCAGGAGGGACCGGCAGAGCCCCCTTCCTCACCGAAGCCTCCCTCCCAGGCTGATCAACGTCACCATCCACTTCCAGCTGAAAACCATCAACCTCCAGAGCCTGATCAACAATGAAATTCCCGACTGCTACACCTTCAGCATCCTGGTAAGCCCAGTGTCCGGGACAAGGGTGGCAGGCCCGCCAGTGAGAGGGGTTGCCCACAGGACCCCTGAGCTCCGGGGCTGGGGACCCTTGGCCAGGGGCGATTTGGGGGGGTAATAAGGGATTTGGGGCCGGATGGACCATCCATCATGCGGGCCTGGGAGCCTAGGTCCGCCAAGGTTTACTCTGGCTCCTCCTGCCCCGCCGTACCCCTGCAGATCACTTTTGACAATAAGGCACACAGTGGGCGTATCCCCATCAGCCTGGAGACAAAGGCCCACATCCAGGAGTGTAAGCATCCCAGCGTCTTCAGGCATGGTGAGCCCCCAACCCCCAGACCCATGTTAGCAGGGGCCCTGAGCTGCCCCGGGGATTCCCCCAAGCCCCAGACCAGCATGGACCCAGTTCCTGACTCCCCCAGGTAACGCATTAGCCCGTGGAGTAGCCACAACCAGTCCTACAGACCCCTAGGCCTGGCCTGGCCCGGCCCCATCCCCAGTCTCCCAAGGCCTCAGGCCACGCCCCGGTCCTACCCAAGTCCTCCCCCCCACAGGAGACAACAGCTTCCGGCTCCTGTTCGACGTGGTCGTGATTCTCACCTGCTCCTTCTCCTTCCTGCTGTGTGCCCGCTCGCTGCTCCGTGGCTTTCTGCTGCAGAACGTGAGTGCTGCCTCCAGGGTCACACATGTGTGCCTGAGCTAGCCTCGCCCAGCTCGGGGGCCCATAAGGGCCAGGGGAGAGAGGGTCCCTCGCTGGGCCGGGCCAGCCCTCACCCCACCTGCCTCCTTGCAGGAGTTTGTTGGGTTCATGTGGCGGCGGCGGGGACGGGTCATCAGCCTCTGGGATCGGCTGGAATTTGTCAATGGCTGGTACATCCTGCTGGTCACCAGCGATGTGCTCACCATCTCAGGCACCATCATGAAGATCGGCATAGAAGCCAAGGTGGGTCCTGGTCCCTTATACCACCTTCTCCACCCCTCCCGCACCTGTCTGGGGCCATAGCCCGCAGGAAGGGCCAAGCCAGGTGGGGGTGACACTGCTTCTGCCCCTAGAACCTGGCGAGCTATGACGTCTGCAGCATTCTCCTGGGCACCTCCACGCTGCTCGTCTGGGTCGGCGTCATCCGCTATCTGACTTTCTTCCATAAGTACAACGTAAGCTTCGTATGTGCAGGCTGGACCCTCTGGGCGGTGGCCACGTGCTCCCCAAGTCTCACTGTCCTCCCCTGGGTAGATTCATACACCTTTGGCCATCACCAGCTTCTATAGATGGCCTGTCATGAGCCTCTTGCCCACACCGGCCCACCCAGACGTACCTGTCCCTACAGCCAAAGCAGAGCCATGGGCACTGCCCCCAGCTGAGTCCAGCGGAGTGGGGGTGGGGAATGGTCAGGCCCTGCCTGCTCCCCCCGCCCCATTCACAAGGCCAGTAGATGTTGTGGCCACACCCACATGGACTGCCCCCCCCCATCTGCCTACCACAGATTCTCATTGCCACACTGCGAGTGGCCCTGCCCAGTGTCATGCGTTTCTGCTGCTGTGTGGCTGTCATCTACTTGGGCTATTGCTTCTGTGGCTGGATCGTGTTGGGGCCCTACCATGTGAAGGTAGGGGCTGTCCAGGCGTGGTGCTCATGACCCACAGTCAACGCGTTCCCGTCTCCCCACTGCTGAACCCTCTGAGCCCTGGTCTAACACTGAACGGTCCACCTGGACCCCTGGTACCTTACCAGGAGGTCTCCGGCAGTTCTGCCCATTGTTCCCTCTGACCCCCCACCCCATGTCCCCACCCCATCCCCAGCCCCCAGTTGCACCCACGGTCCTTCTGACCCCACAACCGCACTGCCCTGCTGGCAGTTTCGCTCGCTGTCCATGGTGTCGGAGTGCCTGTTCTCGCTCATCAACGGGGACGACATGTTCGTGACGTTCGCTGCGATGCAGGCTCAGCAGGGCCGCAGCAGCCTCGTCTGGCTGTTCTCCCAGCTCTACCTCTACTCCTTCATCAGCCTCTTCATCTACATGGTGCTTAGCCTCTTCATCGCGCTCATCACTGGCGCCTACGATACCATCAAGGTCAGCGCCGGCCCGCATGCCTCCCCCCACCTGTCTCCATGGGGGGCCAAGCCTCACGGATATACAGCCCTGAACCTTGGGCTCCGGGTCCCTTGGAGTTGGCCCCGGCAGGATCTCAGGGGGCATGAGGCAGGGTGAGGAGGGAAAGACCCAGGGAGAGAAGATGGGAGACTGAAAAGCGGAAGGGGGGAGTGGGGCATTCTGACCACAGCTGCCACATTCTCAGTTTTACCAAGGTGGGGCTGTGGCCAGGTCAGGTTCCCTTGTCTTTTACTGACGGGGAAGCCAGGGTGTACCTGGTTGCCTGAGGTTAGCTGCTAAAGTGGTAGAGCCAGGCTCAACCCAGGACTGTGTGATTCTGGAATCCCGAATCCTATACATGTCCTATACGGTGGCCTGGGTGGGAGCTCTTTGGGTCCAGGGAATGATGGTGGCCCCGCACGGGGCAGGGGTCAGAGGAGAGAGGGGTTGTAGTAGAACGTGAGGGTGGCAGGTACACACGATTCTTTAGCAAATGTGTGTTTGAGGGCCCTGTGCTGGGTATCTGGGAAATGCGGTATATACGGACGATGCCAGAGCTGTAGGCAAGATGGGTGATCTGTGAACAGAAGTGTGATGACCAATTCGTGAGAGGGATGAAGGTTATAGAGGGATCCCCTGCTTTAGACTGGTATTGGGGTGAGTCCAGGAAAGTCTAGAATGTGCCAGTACTGGTCCTAGCCAGTACTGTTAAAATACCGTGACTGTTAAAATATTGACTTGAAGTGAAACACAATTCCATATTCAGTTTCTCCTCACACCATTCACCTGTCGAGTGCGCAAAGGTTAATACAGCTAGTGACTACCAGATCAGATGGCACAGAGAGCAAACTCTCCTGTATCAGAAACTTGTGGATTGAGAGTCCAGGAGAGAGCACGAGGGAGAAGGAACAGCCAAAGGCCCAGTAGCCAGAAAGGACTTGGGGATGAGATGATGGCTTCTCTACAGGTTGGAAGGGGTAAAGGCTCTGCTGAAAGCCAGGGTTCTGCTGGGGAGGCAGACAGGCACCCCCCAAGCCTGGATACAGTCATCCCACAGATACACTTCTGTCACTCGGGCCCAAGGAGTCTTGGGTCTTGCTCTAGCACCTAAACATCACACGTATGTATCAGCCTTGGATATACAGGCCCAGACCTTGTTCCTGCCATGTGTGCCCACTCAGTAGATGTTCCCTTCCAGGCCCCAAGCTTGTGTCAGGTACGGCTCTGGGTGCTGAAGCAGCAGCAGAGGGCTGCTGACCAACTGACCAAGATGCGGGATGTGCACATTTTGGGGGTCAGGGAATGTCTCCCCGGGAAGCAAACCCGGAGGAATGACAGGTGGAGGTGACCTCGCGTGCTTAGGCGTGGTGGGGGTGGGGGAACTTGGTTGGTGGCGAGTCACAGGGAGGAGATCCTGGTGGCTGGCTGGCTGGCGAGGAGGTGGGGCGGGAGAGAGAGCAGACCTCAAAGGGGCCACCCCGCATTTGTTCCCCAGCACCCCGGCGGTGCTGGCGCAGAGGAGAGCGAGCTCCAGGCCTACATCGCGCAGTGCCAGGACAGCCCCACCTCCGGCAAGTTCCGCCGCGGGAGCGGCTCCGCCTGCAGTCTCCTCTGCTGCTGCGGCAGGTGCGAGCTGGGGATTGGGGTCCGGGGACAGGGAGCCTGCCAGAGGGAACTGGTCCCTTCCGCCCCGGCTGGCAGGCTGACACGGCCTCTCCCCCAGGGACGCATCGGAGGAGCATACGCTGCTGGTGAACTGAGTCGGAGCGGCCACTGCTACTGGACACTAGCCCTCCGACTGCGGAGACTCACGCTTATTTATTTGTAGGGTTTGCTTTTATGGACCGGTTCCTTCCCGCGCCCTGAGGACCTGGGCCAGTCGGGTCGGACGCGGGTGGAGACGGGCGGGGTGGGTGTTAAATAAACGGGAAAATAAATGTGTCTTCATTTATAGCGGGAGGGGCGTTTCCCGCGCTGGTCGGTTTCGGCCCCTTTAAGGCGTCGTCAAACAGCGTGGCGGGCTGCGCGAGATCTTACAAACATGGTGGGGGGCGGGGCCGCGGCGCGCCCTGCGGGGTATAATTTAAAGGGACCGCGCCTGCGGGCCGGGCGGAAAGCTACCGGTGTTGGCGCAGAGTGGACCGCGGCTGCGGCCGGGTGGGTGAGTCCGGGTTTTTGTCGCCTCCTCAGAGGCGTCCCTTAGGGGGTCGTTAGCACCTTTTCTCCTCCGCTGGCCAATAGCGCCGGACTCTCTGATGCTCCCATCCCCTCAGTTCCCGGCAGGTGTTTCCGTGCTGGGAGCCAGGTGCGCGCTAGGGTGGAAGAGAACTAGTCCTCCCCATGAGTTTTCCAGGTAATATCTCAGGGCCCAGTGACGCCCCCAAATTTCCGTTAGTACTCTAGCGGTGCCAGAAATATTCTCAGTTTTCCAGAGAAGTCCCAGTAATATTCCGGCATTCATTCCTAGGTTGACTCTCTTGCTCAAACGACCTCAGGGACGTGCCCACCCAGCTCCCAGTTTTCCTAGCAGTAGTTCTCTATTCCTGAGACTCCCTCAGTAACTTTACAGTGACTCCCAGTAATTCCCGCGTCCCTGGTTACGTCTCCCAGTAATGGCCGTAGCATCGTTCCCAGAGTCCTAGAGATGTTTCACACCGTCAGAGACCCCATAACTGCACTAATGCGTAACGGTGAATCTAGCACCGCCTAGTAACCTCTTGGGAGCTCGCCCCACTCCGGGGGTCCCCGTATTCTTCCGAGACCCCCGCATCGCCCTAGGACCCCTTATGTGGGAGTTGCCAGCAGCACTCCCGTGCACCCCGGCCCGTAGGTCCACTGGCCTGGGGTACCCTGTTTTTTGCAGGGGATTGTGGCCTAAAGTCTGCTGGGTCGGGATTGATCAATCCCGGAGGGCAGACAAGGAGGGGGCCACTTGCTGGAGGAAGGCGGGTCCTTCGGGGACCCGTGCACAGGTTGCTGATTGTGGGTATCCGGCCGGCTGCCCTTTGGCCCCAGGGTGGGGCTGTACCCGTATAGGGCGTCTAATCGGCCCGCGTGTGGGTGAAGGGAGCCAGGGACTCGCCTTACGCCCAGCCCGGCGTCGAAGTCAACCTGTATCACCCCCTCTGCTCTACAGCACCCCACCAGCCGTCCCCTGGCCAGCAAAGCCATCCGGGCGGCGAGTATGAAGAGGGCAAGCCTCGTGGTAGCGGTAAAGGGAGAAGCGGGCCAAGAGTGACGACTTGCACCAGTTCCTCCTGCTTCTTATTCCCCAGGACTCCGGGCTACCAGACCTGTCGCCCAGTCTGAAGCAAGTGATGGAGGCTCCGTTGCAAACAGGAATGGTAAACGTTGGGTTGTGTGGCGCTGCGGGGACTGCAATTCCCGAAATGCTTAGCGCTCATGTGGCAGTCTCGCGGTAATTTCAGACCTACGTTTCCCGGCATGCACTGCGGCCCGCGGAGCCGCCGGAAAGAGTTGCGCCCCCAGGGAGGTAGCAGCGGCTGCCCATTCTGCAGATGGGGACGCCGAGGCAGGGGCCGACTGTGACCTCCTCGGGGGCGGAGGACTTGACCGAACGGGGTGGAGACGGGGGCGTCCCGGCCTCCGGGGAGGGCTCGGCAGGCCGCGTATGCGATGCGCAGCCAGTGCCCTTCGTCCCGCAGGTGCTGGGCGTGATGATTGGGGCCGGAGTCGCGGTGCTGGTCACGGCCGTGCTCATCCTCCTGCTGGTGCGGAGGCTGCGAGTGCCGAGTGAGAACCCGGAGGGCCCTTCCGGGGGTTGCTGCGGGAACTGAAATGCCCGGATTCCTGAGGCAGTAGAGATGGGACTTACGGGACAGTGTCTTCATCTCTGGCCGCGTGGAGTAGGCGCAGAGCTCAGGGTGCTTCTCTATTTATTATTCCCAGAAACGCCAGCACCGGACGGCCCCCGGTATCGATTTCGGAAGAGGGACAAAGTGCTCTTTTATGGTCGGAAGATTATGCGGAAGGTGAGTCTAGGACCCCCGTGGGTCCCCGCTGAACACAGAGGTTCTGCCGTTTTTTCTTTTTACATGTCTTAGGAAGCCAGTCCTCCGTGACTAGCGTCCTCTGGATCTGGGCCCTTCTTCCCTCGGTCTGAACTGGCAGTTCACCCGCACCCCATCCTTACCCTTCCTAGGTATCACAATCTACTTCCTCTCTGGTGGATGCTTCTGTCTCCACCACCTCCCGGCCACGCATGAAGAAGAAACTTAAGATGCTCAACATCGCCAAAAAGTAAGGCTGTACTGGGTGTACTGGGCACCGGGGGCTCTCTCAGGGACCTTTTGAGTAATCAGCCGGCACCAAAAGGTGTATCTAAGGGTTCTTTGAGCTGGGAGTCTTCCCACATCAGAGGGGCTTTCTCAGAGCCCACACCGGACAGGCTGGCTCTGGTGTCTCTGTGCCCTGAGACAATGTATCTCAGCGACGTTCCCCCTGCAGCACGGTGTCTGTGAGCTAGTTGTCTCCAGTCAGTATCTTAGACGCTTCGTAATAGGTTTAGGGGATCTGCACCTGGGTTCTCCCTGTAGGATAGTTCCTGGGTCTCCCCACACAGGAGGTGATTCACTGGGGTTAACTCAGGTGTGTCTGTGACCTACTGGAAGGGCTCTCTCTAGCTTTTGTTTTCTAGGGTTTCTCTCAGCAGTCTCTCTACGTCAGAAAGCATCTCTCTATGTCAGCTTTCCTGGAGTTCTTCCTACACTAAGGAGGCTATCTTAGGCGTTTTTGTTTCCCAGGAGTTATTTCAAGGATCTTCTTGCTCTAAGAAGCATAGGAAGGACATCCCAGGGCTCCATGCCATCAGCAAAGGGCTATCTCAGAGTCTCTGAGAAAGGCTCTCCCAGGGAACTTTCTAAGTTGGAAGCTGGCTCTGAGGTCGGTCTCCTCACATCATGGCATATCCTTGAAGGTCTGTCTCCAGGGTGTCTTCACGCTAAGGGATATCCCACTGAGGGTGTCATCCCAGGGCTGTCCATGAGCAGCCGATGTGTCCTCACGTGGCTTTTTGTGATTCCAGTAGAAGGGCTGGCTCTAGACCCTCGGTGATCAGTTGAGGATTTAGATCTTGTGTCTCTGTATGTCACAGGGGTTGTCTTAATGTGTCCCTGCTCTGGAGGAGCTACACTGGTGTTGTCATGACTTTCAGGGGGCTATCTCAGCTCCCTGTGAACTGGGCAAGGGCCAGCCAAGATCTCTCTGATCAGAAGAGGAGCTATATCTAGATTTCTCTATATCGTGGAATTTAATTTAGGAATCTGCTCATTCTAGGGGCTGTGTTTTAGGGGGCTTGTGACTGGGGGGGTGGCTAGCTCAGTGGTGCCTGTGACTTGCAGGAAAAGGCTCTTTTGGGTCTGTGAGTAGCAGAAGAGCTGTATTCATGCTGTCCACATACAAAGCTATTTCAGGAGTCTTTGTGACCATCGATGGGGTCATCTCAGGGTTCTCTGAGATCTGGAAGGAAAGGCCAGCTCTGGGAGCCTTACAAAGGTGAAAGCAGCTGACGGGGTCTTCTGGTATGATGGGAGCTACCCCAGAGCTCTGCTGACGTTAGGGAGGCTATTTCCGGGTCTGGTCTGTGCTAGGAAGAAGGTCTCCGGGTTCCCATGATGAATGGAGGTGCAATTTCTGGGAACAGCCCATATTTTACATCAGGGCTCTGCCAAACACAGGGTTTATCTCAGGAGCTTATGATAACAAACAGGCAATCTCAGGGTTTTACATTAGAAGATGGTAAGTTTTTTTGTACGGGGTCAGGTTAGCAAACATCTTAGGCTTGGCAGGTCATATGACTATGTCACAAGTTTTGAACTTTTTGCTGAGTAAAAGGAGCCAGAAGTAACATGTAAATGATTGTGTGCCAACAAAGCTTTGTTTAGTGAAAGTAGGTAGCAGGCCAGAGTTGGCTGAGTCCTGTTTTTTGTGATTTAGAGGAAAGAGAGTGGGAGACTCAGGTCTGCCTGAGCCTGTTCCCTACCTGCCCCCTGCGACCCCTCTCTTCCCGCCAGGATCCTTCGTATCCAGAAAGAGGCACCAACACTGCAACGAAAGGAGCCCCCGCCGGCGGTGCTCGAGGCTGACTTGACGGAGGGTGACCTGGCTAACTCCCACCTGCCCTCTGAGGTGCTCTACATGCTCAAGAATGTCCGGTCAGTGTCGGGGTGCAGGCGGAGGGGGGTGGCTGCTGAGCTGGGGGCTCACTGAACCTGCATTCCTCCCCCTCCCTGTCCCATCCAACAGGGTGCTGGGCCACTTCGAGAAGCCGCTTTTCCTGGAGCTCTGCCGACACATGGTCTTCCAGCGGCTCAGCCAGGGGGATTACGTCTTCCGGCCAGGCCAGCCGGATGCCAGTATCTACGTGGTGCAGGACGGGCTGCTGGAGCTCTGTCTCCCGGGGCCGGTGAGTGGACCACCTGTGGGGCACCGCGGGGAGATGGGCAGTGGGGACTGGGATAGGCGTTGCTGTCGGGCAGCGGGCTTCGCGGTCTTTGGAGACGTGCAGGCAGAAATTAGGAACAGGGACGCCTGGGTGGCTCAGTTGGTTGAGCAGCTGCCTTCGGCTCAGGTCATGATCCCAGCATCCTGGGATGGAGTCCCACATCGGGCTCCTTGCTTGGCGGGGAGCCTGCTTCTTCCTCTGCCTCTGCCTGCCATTCTGTCTGCCTGTGCTCGCTCTCTCTCTCTCTCTCTCTCTCTCTCTCTCACAAAAAAAAAAAATTAAAAAAAAAAAGAAAAAAAAATTGGGAACAAACGGACACGGGTGTCGGGGTGGTCTACACGGTCAGCAGTTACAGTTAACGACGGCCAGAAAACAGAAACCGGTCAGAGATTTGGAGGGTTCGGGGATCGGGGTGTCAGTGATCACTGGGTGGTGAGTTGAGAGCTCAGGGGTGGAGTGCCAGTTGGCAAGGTGGGGACAGCCCCAGTCAGGCCCCCCACCCTCTGTGTCTCAGGACGGGAAGGAGTATGTGGTGAAGGAAGTGGTCCCTGGGGACAGCGTCAACAGCCTTCTGAGCATCCTGGATGTCATCACTGTGAGTGATTAGTCTTGGGGGACAAGGAGACTGGGTATGAGGACCCAGTCAGTGGGTTGGTTTGGAGAGGGTCACGTGGGAGGCCTCAGTGTCCCAGAGTCCGCTCCGATGCTCCCAGTGGTCTCACAAGGCACTGGCCTTGGGAAGGACTCGGAGAGCACAGCCCCTGATCTCCCTTCTCCTTGTTCCGCGCACACCCACAGGGCCACCAGCACCCCCAGCGGACTGTGTCTGCCCGGGCAGCCCGAGACTCCACAGTGCTGCGGCTGCCCGTGGAGGCCTTCTCTGCTGTGTTCACCAAGTACCCCGAGAGTTTGGTGCGGGTGGTGCAGGTCAGTGGGCCTTCTGCCTCCCTCCGCCTGCCCCAACCCGTCCCAGGCTCCTGCAGGCTGCGCTTATCAGCCCTGAGCAGTCAGGTCTTTGGGGGCCCCTGTTCCCTCCCTTTAGCTGCCTCCGCCCCCTTCTCCCCAGGCTTCTGCCACCCGATTGTGGGTTTCTCCCTGGCTCATCCTCTGCCGCTGGCCAGCCCCTTACTCCTCCCGACCTTGACCTGCCTGACCGTTCCACCCTGTTAATGCCCAGTCCCCATTTTCTCCCGCTCCCTGTTATCTGAGTCGCGTTACCTGGTGTCTCCCGTCCCTTCCCCGTGGCCACAGATCATCATGGTGAGGCTGCAGCGGGTCACCTTTCTGGCGCTTCACAACTACCTAGGTCTGACCAACGAGCTGTTCAGCCACGTGAGTTGCACAGGGAGCCCAGAGAGTACACGGCCGGGGAGGGTGTGGGGAGGGGGATGCACGCCTCCCAGGACCTGCCGCGAGGGTGCTCTCTGTCACCAGGAGATCCAGCCCCTACGCCTGTTCCCCAGCCCTGGCCTCCCAGCCCGCACCAGCCCCGTGCGCGGCTCCAAGCGGGTGGTCAGTACCTCAGCTGCAGAGGAGCCTAGAGAGAGTCCTGGCCGGCCTCCTGACCCCACTGGGGCCCCACTGCCCGGACCTGCAGGTATCAGACGTCACCCCAGCCATTTCCCAGGAGCCCCACAGCTAGGCACCTAGGTCTGACTCCCGTCTGGTCCCCTGGAGACCCCTGGCCTCGGCCCCAGGGCGGGGCATCAGAATCGCTTTCCTAGTCCCCTAGTCCTCAGAGACTGAAATGACCCTTCTCTCAACCCGGCTTAGTGCCCTAGCCTGTGATCCTAGCTGTAGGCCTGGTGGCTCTGAGGGGCAGGAGCCTGACCACGTGTCTCTCCCAGGGGACCCAGTGAAGCCTACGTCCCTGGAGGCTCCCTCGGGCCCCCTGCTGAGTCGCTGCATCTCCATGCCAGTGGACATTTCAGGTTCGGGCACCAGGTGGGGGAGGGGGGAGAGGCCGTCAGGCTTCTGGGTTGCCTGTAGGCATTCCAGCCTTGATTTTCCCTATCTGCGAAGTGGGAACACACCGTATTTTCATGATGTTTTTGCGGGTGATTGTTGAGACGGTGTCTTCCCAGCTGTGGTTAAGAAGGATCCTGAGGGCAAATGCAGTAATGGAGCAGTCGTGTCTGCACAGATAGGGGATTTGGCACGTAAGTCAACTGGGGTCGCTGTCAGCGTGATCGTTTTTGTAAAATACCTCCTGCCCACCACAGGCTTGCAGGGCGGCCCCCGCTCGGACTTTGACATGGCATATGAGCGCGGCCGGATCTCCGCGTCCCTGCAGGAGGGGGCTTCAGGGGGGCCCCAGGCAGCTCCCGCTCGGGTAAGGCCTTGCCCTCTCTCCCCCTCCCCTCCCCAGTGCCCTCCCAGCACCCTGGCCTGGCCCATGGTGGCATCTCCAAAAGAGGTTCAGGTGGGAGCACAGAGGTCACAGGCCTTCCCCCGTGCAGACCCCCACTCAGGAGCTCCGGGAGCAGCCAGCAGGAGCCTGTGAGCACAGCTATGGTGAGGACGAGCTGGCCGCCGGTGGCTGCCCGTTTGGGCCCTACCAGGGACGCCAGACAAGCAGCATCTTTGAGGCAGCAAAGCGGGAGCTGGCGAAACTGATGCGGATTGAGGTGGGTGGCCACGGGGTCCTAGGGGACGTGGAATGGAGGGCGGGGAGGCCCAGATGGGCTCGTCTCAACCCCCCATTCTCTCCAGGACCCCTCCCTCCTGAACAGCCGAGTCTTGCTACATCACGCCAAAGCTGGTACCATCATCGCCCGCCAGGGAGACCAGGTGAGGCTGACACTGGGCTCTAATGCAGCTCAGACCCAAGACCTTTTTCTGACCTCTGATCCTTCTCTTTGACCCCATATGTACGTCCCTCAGCTTGTGATTTCTGTCCCTGCCCCTAGATGCTAGGACTCTGATTCCTCTGCCGTCTGGATCCACTGACTTTTCCTTTCTAATCCTTGAAACTTTTACCTGAGGACTGCAGCCCCTAGGTCTCTCTTGCTTGTCCTGTCTTTCTCTCTGACTTCTGTTTTCTGCAAGTCTGTAGTATGCTCTGACGTACCACCTGCTTCTCTTCCTGCATCCCCGCTGGGATGGGTGTGCGCTAAGGGCGGTAGTGATCAGAATCTGGACCCAGAGGCCGTGAACCAGCCCCTGGAGCTGGATGTCCGGGAGCATAGGAAATTGTATCCCACGAATCCCTCTAGTGTCCACTTGGGGAAACTGAGACCTGGTCACGATTTCAGTCCAGAAGCACAGCGGAGGAAGAGGGCTCTGGACTAGGGGGGTGCGGGGGTAGAGTTGTGATCACACTCCACCCTGACTTCCTCTGTGACCTTGGCCAAATCATTGAGAAAGTTCTCAGCTTCCTCATGCACGGAATGGGGTAATAAGGGTAACTGTCTGCTAGAATTGTCACGAGGAACGAAGGGCAGCTCTGAACCGCTTAAGGTTTTCAGAGATGCCAGGCTTGTGGGAGGGTTTGGAGCAGTTCATGGGGAGACCACAGCCCCTCTACCCAGGGGAGTGGGAGGGAGGGCCTGGGCTTGGGCGGGGGGCGGTTGGAGTAGGGGCGTGGCCCAGCTGGCTGGGATATTGTAGTACTTAATCTGTTGCTCGAGCTGTCACCTGGAGTGCTCATCGCTGGGTTGGCTCCTTCGATAGAGGAAGCTGGGGGAGGTTTTTGCCAGGTCATTGGTACTGGGGGGGGGCAGAGGAATCGTGGTCACACTGTGGCTTTTGTTGTGGGCCCCTGGGCCCTGCCTACCTGGGAGACTCTGTTGGGCTCAACCTAGCCCCGGCCTGGCTTGCTAACAGACCAGACCAGACTCGCCACTCGTGGCTGCAGGGGGTCTTCAGAACATTGTTAGGGACATTGATCTGCTATGCCTCCTTCCAAAATTTCATACCAATGGTTTTTCATTTGGGGGCGGTTTTATCCCCCACCCCCACTCCAGGGACATTTGCCAATGTTCAGACTTTTTTTTTTTTTAAGATTTTATTTTTTTATTTGACAGAGATCACAAATAGGCAGAGAGGCAGAGAGAGAGAGAGAGGAGGAAGCAGGCTCCCCACTGAGCAGAAAGCCCGATGCAGGTCTCGATCCCAGGACCCTGAGATCATAACCGGAGCCGAAGGCAGAGTCTTTAACCCACTGAGCGACCCAGGCACCCCTGTTCAGGCGTTTTTGAACTGACTTCTGAGGGTGCTACTGGAATCTAGTGGGTAGAGGCCAGAGATGCAAAAATGCACAGGACACCCCCCCCCAACAGCAGAATTATTCAGTCCCAAGTGTTAATAGTGCCAAGGTTAGGAAACTCTGCTTTACAGACATTTCCCGAAGTGTGTTTCATGGAACACCTGTATCATGAGCAAGGGATCTGTGCTCAAACAGATTTGGGAAACGTTAGCTGTTTAATCCCTTTGTGGAAGCTCTTTGTGAACACCATTAGCATATTCAAGGCTCTGTGAAGTCCTGCAATGAAGAGATTTGTTTCTCAATCTGATGCCAAATGGCAACTTAATATTAGTAACTCCCACTCATATCCCAACCAGAGTCTGGAAATTCTGTCTTAGAAGGTTCCAGCACGTGTATGCATCTCCTGGGGCTGCAGAGGCAGGAGACATCAGCAAGATCCCTGCCCTTGGAAAGCCCACAATTCTGACTGACATTGCACTAAAGAATCACACTAATTCTTGGAAAACCATACGTGCTTCATGCTTACACATAAAAGACATTCTTGGCTTTACAAAATCTGGCTTAGGCAGGTTAGCACCTCTGAGAAGGTGACCTCCAGCTAAGGAGGAAGGATGGGAGGAATTAACTAGGTGCAAGGGGGAGAAAAGAGCTTTCTAGGCGGAGGGAAAGCTTGTGCAAATATCCTGTGGCGGGAATAGGACATGTGGTCTCTGGGAAACAAAAGGAAGTCAACAGGGATGGAGTGGAATGAGGGAACTGGGAGCAAAAGGTATGTCTATATACATATACGTACTTATTTATATATCATGTACACATAATATATTCATGGGTTTTTAGTACATTCACAGAATTGTACAACCATTGGAATTGAAAGAATACTTTGATCACCTTGAAAAGAAACCTCATACCCTTTAGCTATCCCCCTCCTGCCTCCGAACCCCCACCGCAGCGATACACAGCTCCTAGTCTTAGTTCTCTATCAATTTGCCTGTCTTGGATATTTTATATAGATAGAATCTTACAGGATGTGGCCCCTGTGGCTGACTTCTTTGACGTAGCATCATGGTTTCAAGGGTTCGTCTACACTGTAGTGCGTGTCGGTGCCCCTCCTTCATGACGAAATAATCCATTGTGTGGGCCTACCACGTTTTTTGTGTGCAATTGTCACGTGACAGACACTTGAGTGATTTCCACCTTTTGGCTATTATGCTGCTACGAAGATTTCTATACAAATTTCTGTGGGGATGTAGGTTTCCATTTCTTCTAAGTGTGTATAAGAGTCAAGTTGCTGGGTCAGGACAATCCTGCTCTTCACTCTCTGTGGACTGTTTCTGATTTTTGCCAGACTGTTTTCCAAAGCAGTGGCACTCTTTCTGTTCCCCCCAGCAGCGTGTGAGTTTCGATGGCTCTACACCCTAACATGTTTTTTAAGATTTTATTTATTTATTTGACAGACAGATCACAAGTAGGCAGAGAGGCAGGCAGAGAGGGAGGGAGAAGCAGACTCCCTGTTGAGCAGAGATTCCGATGTGGGGCTCGATCCCAGGACCCACCTGATCACGCCCTGAGCCAAAGGCAGCCACTTAACTGACTGAGCCACCCAGGTGCCCCTGATTTTGAGCATCTTTTCATGTGCTTATTGGACCTTTATCTTCGGAGAAGTGTCTATTCAGAGCCTTTTCCCATTTTAAATCGAGTTATTGGTCCTTTTATTATTGGGTTGTAAGAATTCTTTACGTATTCTAGGTACACGACCCTGAGCAAACATATATGATTTGCAAGCATTTTCTCCTAGTCTCTGGGTTGTCCTTTCACTTTCTTGAAACTCCAAAAAAAAAAAAAAGTTTAATCAAGTCCAATCGATCAGTTTTTTGTTGTTCCTTATACTTTTGGTGTCCTATCCAAGAATGCACTGCCAAATTCAAAGTCACAAAGATTGGCTGCTGTATTTTCTTCAAAGAATTTTATAGTTTTAGCCCTTACAATCCATGTCTTTGATCATTTTGATATGGTGTGAAGTACGAGTCAAACTTTTTTTTTTTTTTTTAAATTCATGAGAGGCAGAGGAAGAAACAGTTTCCCCAAGGAGCATGGGAGCCCGATGCGGCACTTGATCCCAGGACTCCAGGATCACAACCTGAGCTGAAGGGAGATGCTTAACCAACGGAGCCACCCACCCAGGCGCCCCAAGAGTCCAGCTTTATTCTTCATGGACTGTCTAGTTGCCCAGCATAAGCAAAGAGGGTTTAGCTCAGCCACACCCCGGCATAGCCAGTCCTTGTAGCCTCTTGCTGGCCTTATTGAAAAGAATTTATGGGCCTTGGAGCACCTGGCGGCTCTGTCCGTAGAGCAGGTGATTCTTGATTCCGGGGTTGTGAGTTTGAGCCCCACGTTGGGCACAGAGGTTACTTAAAATCTTTATTTAAAGAATAACTTAGGGGCCTTAATCTGAGCTCAGATTTTGGTGATCCATTAGTAATGTCTGCCCTGGGTGCCAGATGGGAGTTAGATACTTATGCTGTGCAGCTGAACGAGCCAAAGCCTTTACTCCTCCCCTTCAACTTTTCCTTCCTTGGCCTCTCTTCTGGGTGCATTGGGCTGGTTCGGGGCTGGGACTGTTGCCCGTGTGCCCAGCTCTCCTCTGCCCCACAGGATGTGAGCCTGCACTTTGTGCTGTGGGGCTGCCTGCATGTCTACCAGCGCATGATTGACAAGGCAGAGGACGTGTGCCTGTTCGTGGCACAACCTGGGGAGCTGGTGGGCCAGCTAGCAGTGCTCACCGGCGAGCCCCTAATCTTCACACTGAGAGCCCAGCGTGACTGCACCTTCCTGAGGATCTCTAAGTCCGACTTCTATGAGTATGGCTGGGCACCCCCCCCCACCCGGCCCATGGTGGGTGGCAGTGGCACCTGGGGGGCCCCCACTTAGCTCCATTCTGCTGTGCAGAGGTCATCCCTCTGGATGCCCAGTGCCTTTCCAGGGCAGCTTTGAGCTCTTCTGATCCCACTGCCACGCCATCACCCACCCTTTCCACTTCCTAAGGAATGTGCCAGGGCACCCCCACAAGCCCATGCCCCCCTAACTTTCCTCTCCAGGATTATGCGAGCACAACCCAGTGTGGTGCTGAGTGCCGCGCACACCGTGGCCGCGAGGATGTCACCCTTCGTGCGCCAGATGGACTTTGCCATCGACTGGACAGCGGTGGAGGCCGGCCGTGCTTTGTACAGGTGCAGACCTTGGCCTTTCTTGCAGCTCAGGCCTTGCCTAAGACCCCGCGTCAACCCTGTCTTACCTGCCCCCCACCTCAGGCAGGGCGACCGCTCAGACTGCACCTACATTGTGCTCAATGGACGGCTGCGCAGTGTCATCCAGCGGGGAAGCGGCAAGAAGGAGCTGGTGGGCGAGTATGGCCGAGGGGACCTCATCGGTGTGGTGAGTGCCGCGCCCCCCCCCCCCCCCCCCCCCCCC